ACTTCGTCAAGCACTACCTCGTTTAATTTCTTTTCCTTCCACGATTTTCTCACATTTCTGTTGCTTCTATTTTATTTTCATCTTCCAAAGCCTTGGTGTACGTCATGATTGTCTGTTTATATTTCTGGATTATGTTTTGAATATTTTTTATCTAATTAGACAAAATGCACTTGTTTATTGGCGGAAGTAGAAGAACAAGGGATTGTTAACTTTTAGCCAAGCACCATTCATTCATCTTTGAAGTTTGGAGTTCAAAATCCTTTTCAAAACTCTTTTAATTCTTATATAACTGAAATATCGTTTTTATCATCGCAGGAAAAAGGGGGCTGTGATCTGTCTATTACCGCAAAGAATAACTAGGCCCTGAAACACGAAGTTACATCCCAGTCTGGGTCTGTATTTAACTTCAATTCCCAGAAGATGTTACAAAATACTTGACCCGAGTCTGAGAAAATTATGATGTTCTTAGAAATGCTAGGAAGATTGTACACTATCTAGAGCCTGACTTACTCACCATGTCCGGTGAACTGGACACACAATCTGTCTCCGTGGTGTTGGTCCTGGTTGAAACTTTTGCTGGTGAGGACATACTCTTTACCTCCGTTAAGTTTGCGGGAGACGTCAGCAACGTATGCCTGTCCGAGACAAAGTGATAAGAAAAAAATGTTTCTTTTCAACACTCTCAATACCTTTTAGTTATAAGGCACCCAAAAGAAAAAGTGGCTCCGGTAGCCTAGTGTTTAGGCTGTAGGACTCGTAATCATGAGGTTGCAGGTTCAGGGGTTCGAGCCTCAGATCAGTCTGACATTGTGTCCTTGGGAAAGGTACTTTACATTCCCATTTGGTTCGGTCCTTTCGGAGATGGACGTTAAACTCGGAGGTCCCGCCTCTTAAATAACCTAATAGAAGCGTTAAACCCATAACATTTTCACCCAAAAGAAAACACAAAAAAATTGTGAGAACTAATTGAGTTTTGAAAAGGAGCTTGAACTCCAAACTTAAAATATGAATGAATGGTGTCTGTCTAAAAGTTAACAATCTCGTGTTCTTCCACTTCTGCCAACAATCAAGTGCGCGATTCGACTAGTAAGCCGGGCATTTTGTTTACTTAAATATTCATATACATAATACATAAATACAGACGACGGACAATCAAGGACGTACATCAAGGCTTTGGATTTCCCTGTCAAACATCAAGTGGATGGCCCATGTGTGGACCGTGACGTTGACGATAAAGCAGGCCTCTCCCTGGAACCCGCCGTTCCAGTGGTTCTTGATCGGCACATTGATGTTAGCCAAAGCCGTAGCCGCCAACGCCAGGACGGCTAGCACCACGAAACACCTGGCAGACGAGATACAGGTGATTTACGGAGGGCAAAAAGTACACATGACGTACACATGACGTACACGAGAAGTACACACAACGACCACGAGACGTACACAAATTGTACACATGACATACACATGATGTACACAAATTGTACACATGACATACACACGATGTACACAAATTGTACACATGACATACACATGATGTACACAAATTGTACACATGACATACACATGACGTACACAAATTGTACACATGACATACACATGATGTACACAAATTGTACACATGACATACACATGATGTACACAAATTGTACACATGACATACACATGACGTACACAAATTGTACACATGACATACACATGATGTACACAAATTGTACACATGACATACACATGATGTACACAAATTGTACACATGACATACACATGATGTACACAAATTGTACACATGACATACACATGATGTACACAAATTGTACACATGACATACACATGATGTACACAAATTTACACGCGATGTACACAAGACGTACACATTATTTACATACAATGTACATACAATTTTCCCGCTACGTACAAAAGACGTACATAAGACGTATACAAGACGAACACAAGACGCGGCATGCATATGGCTCAGAGATGTGGATGGGAGACAATATCTTATTATTTATTTATAAGGGTTCAATTACTTTTTGTTTATATTTTTGGATTAATGCATCACTAACCAGACTTCCTCACGGCATTAGACATTTTCAGATCGTTAAAATGAAGCCGTTCAGAAAAGTGGCAGAACTTGTAACAACAATAAAGTAGAAGCAGAATAAATAAAAATGTCCACAAATATGTTTTGTTCACAGTTAAGTACATGTTGTCAACATATATATTACCCATGAGTCTCAAATACCATCCAAGTCTAACAGGGGAACGCAGAGAAGAAAAAAAGTCTCGATTTGTTTGGACATTTAGATCTTTTTAAAACAATCATTATTGCGTGGAAGTGTTATCGCATATCTGAAACTTGATAATTCTATCATTATGGCTGTATAGAAAGTAAAACTGTTCTAAATGTTCACAAGGGTACAGTCTTACCTCATTTTGTGGTGAATACTTCTGTCTTTCACCTGAATGCTGTAGGCTTCAAACCCTCATCTATTTATTTGAGATACATGGGAAACGTGACTGTTTTAGACGACGCTTTAAAAATGGGGTCAAGGTAGAATCCAAAAGATTAGGATTTTTAAAATGTAGGCAGCAATTTAAGTCAGAGAGCACTAAAATATATTTGAAAACGTGACATTCTTGAAAAATACCGTCAAAGCAACAAGATAAGAAATTACGTATCTTTGTGCTTATTCAGATGAAGAGAGGTATGCTGACCGATGATAATAGACGGTTATTAAAGAATTTGAACGGGGTGGGGGGGGGGGGCATATTGGGTGACCGACAAAAAAGGAAAAAATGGAGAGTTGAGACTACCTCGCCACAACAACCTCTACAAACGCTTAGGATATGGACCAAAAAAAACAACCCAAGAATGTCCTTGATTTTTTTTGTTGTTCTTGTTTGTTTTGGTATTGTTTTATTTCTTGTTTTGTTCTTTGTTTTGTTCTGTTGTTGTTTTTTTAGGTTCCACAGCGGTAATTTTTTAAATTTTTTTTGGCGGAGGGGGGGGGGTAGTTATGGCAAGAAGCTCATGTGTTAAAATGCCATTTTTCCAGGTGACAACGTTATGTTAAGACTTGCTCGATAAGAGTAATAAATTGAGATTCGACCATAGCATTTATTTGATTGCTATTGTTTTCTTTAATTTAACCAGAAACATTTTAGAATGCTTTATGGACTAGATCTATAGACAATCCCATGGGTAAGAGCCATCTTTATTTTGCTCGACATGGCTTCCTCCTAAAGAGCCAATGTCGTTCAATACAAGCATAGGTCACATGGTAGTAAATAATATCCGAAGAATAAAACACTTGAGGATGTTTCTCACGATTTTGTTCTTACTAAATGACAGTAAGAGACTGAAATGACAGAAAATCTTTCTGTATTACCTGAATCCACAAAGTCTGAAAAACAAAAAACGTGGGCATGTGAAAAATTGTCCAGTAGTTTGGTGCAGTTGACACAATGACAGCGGTTATCTTTGCGGCAGCGTTTTGCTTTGGTGCCAAGTTGGTTTCGTCCAGTCTTATCTTGGAAGCCGCGTGTGGCTGTTTTTTAACGGAGAATTGTACAGATAAACGCTTGCTTATATTATGAATAGTTTAAAATTCTGCTCCCGAGAAATAAGTCAAGGCTACTGAAAATAGCAGACGAGAGTCTTTGTTGGAGGTTTTTTTCTTCTTTTTTTTTCTGAAGGATATATAAGCTATATTCGGGGGTGGGGGTCGTTTGTTTGTTAAGATTTTGTTTTAAATCACGTCATATTATCTGTGAACAAGCGTTTTGGAGCACATGAGCCATCAATTATTTCAAAACACAAGAATGAAACTAGTGCACACATGCAAATAACGGCCATTTCAACAGGGCCAACGTCACTGCTCCAACTTGTTTCCTTTAAAAAAGAATATTTTTTTCGATTTTGGCTCTACCTTTCAAAATCTGAGGGTTTTTTTTCGGGGCGGGGAAGGGGTACAATCTGACCTACCAGAAGTAACAGCCAATCAGAAAGCGACCTCGTGCCAATTAGAGCTCCAAATTTTCTACACTTGATGCGTGTACTGCGCCACAATAGACTTGCACTCTCTGTCTCATTTGTTTTTTGTAAGTGTGTGCCCACCGAGTCAGTCATATCGAGGTAAATCAGAGGTCAAGTAACCATTGGTAAACCTCATCGTTATAACCCCACCTGACCTTCAAGCTGGACCCGACGATCTAAAAGCTATTTATACCTATTTAAGAAAAGTAAACTGCTTTTAAACAATGCTGACAGAACACAGCAATAATTCCATAGCCACTGTAAAAATAATTGTTGATGTTTTACGCCCCCCTCCCCCTCGACTCAATTAAGATTAATTTAGAAGTCAGACTGAGGGCAAACTCGGGCCAAGAGGGATACAACGTCCCAGAAGAAAGACGGAGAAAATCAATAAAAATGTTACCCGCAAGGGAATCAAACTCATGTCTTTTACGTGCGATGATAGCGAACCAGCTAATCCATTCCCCACAGACGCCAGTTTTCATGGTCACGATCTATTACATGACAGTGAAAAACTCTTCAGTGGTCACATTTGGCTTTTATTGCATTTCTGACTTCTTCCATTTAATGCGTATGTGTCATATAACGAATCTAGGGTCAATGTTTTGACCTCATGTGTTTCCGTCTCAACAAACAACTCAGGACAAAAATCTGATTGACCCGACCTTCTCAGAGATCACGTGGACAGACATAAACGCACAAGGGAAAAACAAAGGATGTTAGTTTTGGGCATTTTTTGAAGAAAAAAAAAAGCAAATGAAATGCTTCACATCTCATATTTTTCCATTGTATAACTTATTTTCCACGCCTGGTTTTGGGTGACCTGCGCACTAAGACGGACCAAATGACGTGAGTAAACACTATCTAAACCACACCATAACTCACAATATTTTTTTAAAACCTGATATTTTTTAACCCCCCTCCCCCTTTTGAACCCTTCATTTTATGTACTGTTAATATGACAGCAAACAACGTAAAGAGAGGAAGGAGGTCAGAGAAGAGAAGAAAGATGGAGGGAAAATTGATGGGCAGACAGACAATAGAGAAATAGAGAATCAGCCAGTTTATTCGTGGTCGAAAGTATTTATCTATTTCTGAGAGTGTGAGTGCGTATGCGTGTGAGCTTGAGGGGGAGGGGGAGTGTGCGAACGCGTGTGTGTGAGTTACTGTGGCACATAGCGAGAGAAAAAGAGAGAAGGCGCATAGAAGTAGGGAAAGGGGTAGAAGTAGTAGTAGTAGTAGTAGTAGTAGTAGTAGTAGTAGTAGTAGTAGTAGTAGTAATAGTTTAGCAACAAGAAAAATAGCGGCAGAAATAGTATGGCAACTGCAGCAGAAGTTGCAGTGACATTAACCGCAGTAGTTGAGCGCCTTACTGGGCAATAAATGTTCATCTTATAGGGCTTGCACCAAGACCGTCTGGAAAGTTTAGCTTCTCGTCTTATATCTCAAGATAGATGGATAGATAGATAGACATACAGACAGACAGACAGACAGACAGACAGACAGATAGATAGAGAGAGACACACACACACAGAGAGAAAGAGAAAGAGAGAGGGATGGAGAGAGAGAATTAGTTATACCATAAAGTAGGCATCCTGACAGACAGACAGACAGGCAGACACACAGACGGACAGAGAGACAGACAGACAGACAGATAGATAGATAGATAGATAGATAGATAGATAGATAGATAGATAGATAGATAGATATACCAACTGTTTGTTATAAAGGCACAATCAGTGATGAGGCAATCACCCAGGGCCTTGACGTGTTAAGATTCGAGGATAAAGCCAGGGACAGCCTAGTGTGTCATCGACTGCTCTCCGCCTTATGAACCTGATGGTGCAGGGATGGAGTAAATAAGTATGGTGATAGTAGATATGTTATCTGAATAGTTTGTCCATGAAAACTGACATGAGTGTGGAAAAGGATGTTTTTTTATACATTATGCATTCTAGGTAAAACATTTGTGTTTGACCGACCCTGAAAAGGTCAATCTTATCATTTTGAAACGAGACTGAAAACCTTATGAAACTGATGTCTCTTCTGACTATCTTGCCTGTTATATTCTAGTTTTGTCGTATTTGTTCATAGTAACTGTAACACTAGACAAGTGTGTTGGTCGTTTATGTTCGCCCTGTCTAGACATCTTCACGTCTCTTCAAAGACGTCATCCAACGTAATATTGACATATTATCCATGTGTGAGTGCTGGTGTTCTGCATGGCTTATTACAACGCTCACATTTTTAAAGATTGTTTTTCTTTGATGGAGTTATTTTGTTACGGGATTGCTGGCAAGAAAACATAACGTTTGATACGTAGGGTTGTTTTTCTTTACATTTTTTCTTTTCTTAGAATTCATTTTTTACAAATTATGTATTTGTTTCCTTTATTACCACTTGGCAGAGGAAGGCATGGATAGACAACATAAGAACATGGACTGGCCTGGATATGGCAGAATGTGCAACGGCAGCTCGCGACCGTGAGAGATGGTGGGTCATTACACGTCAACCTCTGAGTCAGAGATGACTCCTCCAGGTATCCAGGCAGTATGGCATCAGAAAGTTGCATCATCCCTTTCTCCTAGTGCGTGTTCTAACAGGTTCGACAAAGATAATACACTCGTAAGTCGAGTCATCTATTCAAATCAACCACTTTTCCAACTACCACTTTTCTCATCCCTCCATGCGGTAGTCACACATAATGGCACACTCCCGGACGTCCATCTGTATAAGAGGCTAAAACAGCACCTGGACATGGATGGCTGGTGCCTCTATAAATAAATCATTGATGGTCAGTGATGGACCTGTATAAGAACAATAGGTAGCCGCCTTGCACAGCATTTTCAAATTACACTCCATTTACAAGCAGTGCCAAGCGATTCAGACGAAATACAGCCAGAGAGTTATTGTTTTGCAGTATGCCAACGATTAGAGTGTATTTTAAAGAAAAAAAGTCATAATATTACTAGCCCCAGAATGAAATATTCTTGAAGGTTTAGAATAAACCGATATCACAGCATAGAAAGCAAAGTAACGTTGTCTTTTTAAAATTTTGAATCATTAGGGAAGACAAGATCAAAAGGGAGGAAAGTAGTACTTGAACACTACATGTTCTCTGTGACTATAGGGCCCAGACTGTATCATGTACACTTCTTTATAGTTGTCTGTCAAGATGCAAAAGGCCATACTCACAATACACAACATTACGTAATCGCAGGATGTAGATTTTGTTAGCAGAGGAAAGTTCAGACACCTTTTGAAATGAGGAACAGACAGACAGACAGATAGAGAGGGAGAGAGAGAGGGAGAGAGAGATGGGGGGAGAGAGAGAGAGAGAGAGAGAGAGAGAGAGAGAGAGAGAGAGAGAGAGAGAATTAGTTATACCAGAAAGTAGGCATCCTGTAAGGAAACTTTCGCCCGATATAATTCAGGGGACATAACCCTTGGCCTAAAAAGATATCAGCAGATTCAGCGAGATACACGCTTTGGTAGTCGGTAAGGTCACCTTTGGTTGTGCGGTGCAGGGAGGGCTGAAGATGGGTCTCCTGGACCGACTTTATTCTATTGTTTTGGCAATTTTCATTTTTTGGCTAATGCACTGCATTTTCTTCTAACTACTCTGTTTCTTTAGATTAATTTTCCTGAATTGTGGTACCACAAGACTTGAAGAGGTCTTTTTCTCTTTATAGTTTTCTGTGACATAAACATGTCCTTGAAACTGAGTGCTTTAAAAACAATTTAACATACGAATTGCTTATCAATTTTAATATGTAATTGTGATCTGCCTGAAGACCCCTTTTCTGAACGTACCCTCCCCACCAAAAAAAAGAAAACAACACAACCTGCAAATAAAACTAGCCCCACGTATTTTAGATGGTACATTTGAACTCCATTAACCATTAATAAAATAAAACGACCATTAGAAAACGCTATCAAATATCTACTATTTCTCATTCCTCTTGAGTGCTATGTCGAAGGTCTGACTTTTCGTGTGTCTTTAAAAGCTCAGAGTCCTACCAGTCTCTGAGAGGCCATTTTGAGACTGAGCCCACTGGCCCAAGTGCAAGGCTGTCTGCCAAATAGGAAATCAAAGCAGAATAACAAATCTTTAATTCAAAGAAGATCGAGTACATCAAAGTATAAATGATTTTTAATGTGCAAATAATCTAAATTCAAATTATTTATTTATTCGGCAAATTATATCTTAAAAGAAGATAAGGGGCGAAAAATATAGCCATCAACTTCTTCTTAAGGGCTAGAGAGTTCTCTGTGAGCTTGTCTCAGCGTCCTATGACCATTCCACCACCAGTTCCGCCACTGCCGGATGCGTAAGGACACGTCGCAGTTCCAGTCTGTTCTGGATGTTCACTGCGCAGCCAGAGAGACTTCAAGCCTGGGAAACAGATAACATAATGAAGAGTAGGTCTGTCTTATTTATAATTATATGACTTAAACGCTCTACAACTGTGCCGAGGGCTGATATGAAAGTGGAACCCTGAACTCAGTAGTAAAGGGGAATTGCTGAAAAGGCAAAAGGACTGGCCTTGGGAATATATTATTGTCAGGTTCTTTTTCCTGCACAAAGAGAGATCCCAGCTTCATTTCTGTATACCTCAGATGTTTACTTATACTGTCCTACTTTCAGCTGAAATATATACATTATACAGCCCAGGTGAGACCGGGCAAGGAGGGTTGAAGTAAACCGCTATCTAAATACATGGTCAAAGCCATTCCACTGGGGATGTGAAAAATATAGAGCAAAAGCAAAGAAAAAGGAGAGAAAGAGGAGCCAATACATGAGAGCAAATATGACATTGTATGTTCTTCTTAGTACATAGTATTATAATATAGATGCTTAAGTTTTCACTTTTCTGTTTAAATATAATAGGAACTGTTTAACGTCTTGCTAGTGTGTTGAGGTAGGGGTGGAAAATGAAGGCTATATTCTACAGACCGACTCATCCTGCTCCCACAACCACAATTAGAATAGTCTCTTCGTTTGCCTGGACATTTCGCCAAAGAAATCTCTCGCCTCTCCAAAAGAAGTGTGCCGGCGTCTATCGTGTAGCGGCCAAACGCCTCGCTGCCTTAAACAAAAGACCTGAGTTCATGTCCCGAGAGCGGAGGACTCGTATCGAGTATTTGCGTCTTTTTGCTTGGATGTTGGCAATGCATGCCGGTCGAAACCCGCATCCTTATAATCTAAATTGTGTCGATCTAGTGTTCCCACAAAAAAATTACTTTCATAGTCCCCGCATGATCCTAAGGCTTTTCATTAAAAGATCCAGCATGTAAAAGCCAAAAAATAATCATAACTCTCAATAACAAGAAAACGATTTATTAAAAGTACGTTTATATTTTCATTGGGAAAAAATCCCATTTAAAACAAGTAATAACACGAAAAAAGCCATAAAACAACCAAATTGCCAACATTTAAAGGAGACGGTATCGAAGACCAGATAATCAATCTCAACACAAAAAAAAAGAATTGACAGAGCTGCCAAACCAACACTAAAAGAAACAGCAGCAGCAACAATTCCAGCTGAAACAAAAGCGAACGTTTCCGATTTGACAACAGTGAGTCCAAAACGGGCAGGTTTCCAGCGGGTTTTTGTTCCGTTTCCATTGACTCGCGGGCCACACTTGTGATAAACACACACACACAGACACCAACTCACCAGCAACAGCCGTGGTGAACCCAGCGTTGTAGTCTGTGGCCACCTCGTTGTTGACGTAGTTGGACCGGTCATCGGTATAGCCATCTGATTGGTCAGGACCACCCACCAGGGCACCGTACAGTGTGTGCACGTTTGGCTCTTTACTGGACATCACGAAAGGACCACACGGAGCTGGTAGGTTCGGACATGAGCTGTGGGCGCCATTTACATAAAACGTGCATAACATTGTCCATTCTATTTGGATATTATTTCCCCTTCCATTTATCATCATCATCATCATCATCAT